CTGAGCTCCGAAACCCCAAACCCTGAACCCTAAACCCTAAACCCTGAGCTCCGAAACCCCAAACCCTGAGCTGTTTAGTGCGTTGCTCTACCGCCTGCCAGGGAAGACAGCGTCCAAAGAGAGTCGGGCTCCCTGAGGGCGCAAGGGTGCTCTGCTTATGCCTCCCACAAGGAATAGACGGGTTAAGGGTTTAGGGTTTAGGGTTCTAGGGGACCCTTCTGAACCCTTCTCTTAAAAGGGACCTTATTGAGAGGGTCTCTGTCCCCAAGGGCCCCCCTAATCCTAACTCCTATCCCACAAGGATAGAGGGCCAACCCGAAGCTCTCAATCTGACTTGTAGGGATGTTTTAACTTCAAAGAGCACCGAAGCTAAGGACTCAAAGGCTGGGAGTTTGGGGGGGTGATGTAGAAGCAATACTGTAAGGGCCTCAGTAGTTACCACTACTCTTGCTCAGGATTTCTTCGCATAGTCAGCTACTATAGTTATAGTATGACCCCCAACACTCTATTCTAGGTTTCGAGGCCCGAAAACTGGGTTGATTCCGTATTATAATTATAGTACGTACATTATACCGTATACCCTGACACCCTATTCTAAATATTAAGGCCCTTATATTAAACTCCAAACTGCCGTTGCTGTTGAGAGCTCGCAAAACTCCAGGACTCGGCTGGGGCCTTGATGCTCTTGGCGTTCAGAAATGGGCGGTTTCCGAAAATAGGGGACCCTGATATAGTACCCCAAATAGTAGGATCCTTATTATAAGGACCCCAAAAAAAGGTACTCCTTATTTTCGGAAACTCCCAAATCTTGCGAGTAGCTGTGAGTGCTTTGGGTCTAGGGTTTAGGAAGTTTAGGGTGCCAGGGTGCTTGGTTGGGGTCAGGCTTCTGTGAGGTTCCATGTTGGGTTCAAGCTTTGGGGTATGGAGTTTAGGGTGGAGCGTTCAGGGCTTAGCACTGCTGACACTGCTGCGGCTGATCATGCAACGACGTCCACAGTGATGGAAGCAAAACCAGCTATCTCTGTGGAACGAGCTGTACCAACCCCTGAAGGCCCTAAACCCGAAGCCCCCAAAGCCCGAAACCCCTAAAGCCCTGAACCCCAAACCCAAAGCTTTGCCGGGAGGCTAGAGCGCCTGTTCAACGCGGGGTTGCACAAGCGATGGAGGCAATTGTGAGAAACCACCAGCTGCACATCAAAAGGTGTTGGGTTTTGTGGTGTGGGGTTTAGGTTAGAAGCCGGCTGCAAGAGATCTTGCCGCATCTTATAACACTTACGATAGTTCAGGAATATTCCTGATTGAAGGTGTAACTGGGCACTTTAGATATAAAACTTCTGCCGGGACCCTCATCCGAAGCATGATGGGTCTTTGAGTTTAGCGGGGGGTATCTTTAAACGTTTCAGATTTTGTGTCGTTCAGTTTGGGAGCATAAAGAATAACCTCGCCTCAAAAGCTGGGGTTTAAGGTTTCTCGGTTTTGGCCTCTCAAGGCTGGATTGCGAATCACGTGGCGTCTTTGAGTGAATGCCTGGACGATCTTCTTGCATCGCTTCTGAATACGATCAAGGCGAACAGCATTAACAAACTCTTGTTACTTTGGTTTGATTCAGTGTCCCTGTCGACAAGCAACTCGGAAAGTTTTCCACGCCGCCTACAGAACAGGGCGGTTTTCAGAAGGATTCCGGCGTGTTAAAAAAAAAACAGTCGCATCAGGAATATGCGGACATCGAGAACCTGCGGCTCTTGACAATATCCGAGCGTACAGCGTATGAGTTATTTCTGTTGCGGGTTGTTGGAGCTTCCTGCGACAAGAACCCCCAACCCGTAAAGTACTTGAATCATGTCCCTAAGCCCCTAAACCCTAAACCCTAAGCCTCGAGCCTAAGCTTCTCACAAGAGTCAGAATCAACTCTGCCAGGATCCGCGTCAAGTCCAGGAAGGAGTTCTGGAACGACGAGGCCTCGACCTGTCTGTAGATATGGGGGTTTCCGAAAATAGGGGACCCTAATATAGTACCCTAAATAGTAGGCTCCTTATTATAAGGACCCCAAAATAAGGTACCCATCATTTCGGAAACTCCCATATATTTCCGATGGTTGTACAACACAGGATGATGGCGTTTCTTGCGTGGACATAGAGTATCTCTCTCCAGGTTCAAGCACACAGCTTTCCATGCATATATATATATATATATATATACATATATATATATATATTTGTACACCGCATGTGTTGCTAGGCCAAGCTACGTCTGAGCTGTTTGAAAGCTCTCGGATAGATATCGCCACCCTAAACTCTAAACCCTAAACCTAAACCCTAAACTCTAAACCCTAAACCCTAAACCCTAAACCCTAAACCCTAAACCCTAAACCCAAGTCATGTTACATACCCAGGCTTGTAGTCAAAGGGAGACTCCAAGCTGACAAACCCCTGAAGCCCCTTTTCTTCCTGGAGCCCTGGAAATTACCCCATGCTCTTCAAGAAGAGGTATCCTTGAAGAGTTTAGGGTTTATGGTTTAGGGTTTAGGGTTAGCTCTTTCTGACCCTACCCGAAGCGTTTTTTATGAAGGAAACCCCCACACCCCCACAGTGCCCTAGTTTCATATGACAGAGGACGGACCCTGTTCCCCCTCAGCCCTAAACCCTAGAACAAGCCCGAGGCGCTTAACCCTAAAACCTAAACACTAAACCCTCCTCGCCACATCCTAAGACCTGAAACCTAAAGCCCTACAGTTACCCCGGGACCTGAAGACGTACAATAAACCCTAAAGCTTCAAACCCTAAACCCTCAAACCCCTTCGTACCCTTCTAGCAACCCTTCAAGTCACCGTTATGAGTTAATAGCCCGAAAGCCGAAAACCCGAGCCCTCAGCGAACTGAGCTTGAGGAGAAGCTGAAGTTTACGGCGGTGGAGATGACGCCGATAGACCTTGTCCAGGCGGAGGGGTCTCAGGTTTAGGGTTTAGGGGTTGTTTTTCGGGTTTAGATGGGTTTAGGATGGTTTAGGGTTTACCGGTAGCAGGAGAACCCCGCAAATTTAAAGGGTTCCTGAGTATGGCTTCTTTTTATGATTCCTTACAAAGGTCGGTTTTTAGGGGGCCACAGGTAGGGTGAAGGCCGAGAGGTGAAGGGCTTTACAGCTTGTTTGAGCGCTGTACAGGGCTTCATAGGACTTGACAGTATCACAGGCTCTTCTGTATACGGTTTACCTGGACCCTGAAGAACTTACTTTTTGAAGGACCTATATGACCTATATAAAAAGAAATGATAATAAGGAACCCTAAAACCTACTTGTTGAAAGGTCTTATGTTTAAGAAATCATAGTAAGGAACCCTTTTTGAAGGTCCTTTTTTAAAGAAATCATAGCAGGAGCGCTAACAGGGCAGGTTTTTTGGGGGCCCCTCGTTGGGCTGAGGGCCAGGTTTAGGGGTTGAGGGGTTTACGCTTTAGGGTTTACGGGTTTAGGGGTTTTGGGTAAAGGGGTTTAGGGGTTTAGGGTTTAGGGGTGTAAGGGTTTAGGGGTTTAGGGGTGTGAGGGTTTAGGGGTTTAGGGGTTTAGGGTTTAGGGGTTTAGGGTTTAGGGGTTCAAGGTTTAGGGTTTGTGTTTGAGGTTTATGGTTTAGGGACATTGAGAGTCTCTCAGTATGATTCCAATCGCGAGTGGTCCAAATCATGGTCACCTAGGTTACGTACCCTAAACCCTAAACCCTCGAAAACCGTATAGTTCCCTTGTAGTAACACTTACAAAGGAGCCCTTGAAAGAACCCTTGAGCCTTAAACCCTAAACCCTAAACCTGGAACGGAGGGGGCCGAAATAATCAAGACGTCAGGACGGAAAGCTCAAGCTACAGGAGGCCGGAGGGCTTCAAATACTCAAAGCCTAAACGAAACCCTAAACGCTAAACCGCAAAACCCTGAACCCTTGAAGCCCTAAAACCCTAAACCCCTAAAGTTCTATAGCCCCAAAACCCTCATAACCCCTAAACCCCTCAACTCGAGAGAAACCCCCAAAACCCTGAACCCCTATAGCCGGCTTTGCAGAGTTCCTTATCTAGAGAGCCTTTGAGGGTTTATACGCTGTGTGGGTTGAGGGTTTAGGGTTTATGGTTTTCGGTTTTAGTTTTTGGGGGATTTGAGGTATATAGTAGGGTTCAGGGTTTAGGTTTTGAGTTTTATAAAAGGGCTTATGTTTTAGGTTTGAGGTTTATAACAGGGTCTAGGGTTTGGTTTATGAGGATTTGGTTTTAGGGTTTGAGATTTATAATCGTGTTGAGGGTTTATGGTGTTCAGGTTTGAAGTGTAGGAAAGGTTTAGGGCATAGGATTTGGGCCTTGAGGTTTACATTAGGGTTTAGGACGTGGGTGTTGGACTTAGCACATAATGTTCCAACTGGGCTTTGAGGACCGCAAAACCCTAAAACCCGAATCCCTAAACCCCAAACCACCCTAATCCCTAAAACCCGAAGCCTTAAAACAGTTTTGGAGCCCGTAAGATTGGCACCCGAACTGCGAGAATAAGGGCGGGGGGTTAAAAATTCGAAGAGGGTTCTTTAAAGGGTTCTGTAAGGGTTCTGTAAGGGTTCTTGTATGTTCTAGTTCTAGTTCTAAACCCTAAACCCTAATCTATCCAGGTTCTAGTATACGACTTCCTGCAGAGCGAGTTTCAGTAAAAGTTTGAAACCATGGGCCCCTAGTATGGGCCCTTAAGGGTGGGATCTCTATATACTTACTATGTACCCTATATGTACCCTTCAGGGTCCGTAGAAAGGCCTGAGTGTCCATATTAGGGGCCCATACTTCCAACCTTAAATTCAGGGCTGAGCGGGCTTTAGATGCTTGGGGCCTGGGATTTGGGGCCGTAGGACTTGCAGGGTGCCCTAGGCGCTGAACCCTAAACCTAAAACCCTTAAAACCCCTAAAACCCCTAAAACCCCTTAAAAAACCTTAAGAACCCCCTAAACCCCTAAAGCCCCTAAAAACCCTAAAACTCCTAAATACCCATAAACCCCTAAACCCTAAACTAGTGTTTCGGAGATGTGGGCTCAAAGGGCTTCGGTTCTGGTTTTAAGTCGGACTTGCGTCAACCAACTCCTGCCTGCCAGGTTCCCCAGTAGTACCCTTTTGCCCTTAGGGTTTAGGGTTTAGGGTTTTAGGGTTTAGGGTTTTCTTTTTGGGTTCCATGAATAAAACGGAATAGTAGGAAAAAGGTTACCCTTATGATTAAGGGGCTACTGGGGAACCTAGCTTCAGTCCACTGAGGTCTTAGTGTTGAGGGTAGAGAGTTTAGGTTTGTACGAGTTGAGGGTTTAGGGGTTTTAGGGTTTTAGGGCTGAGGGTTTGGGTTTACGAGGGGTTTAGGGTTTAGGGCTTTTGATTGGCTATGTCGCAAACACTTCTTCACAACCACGCCCGCCCGTGGTTGAATCTGTCACTCTCGACGGTGCAGTCAGGTCTAGGAAGTACTTCTTGAGGGCGAATCCCTCCCCTGCATCCGAAACCCAGCAGAATTCCATGCGATTTCCGATCGAAAACCCAATCAGACTATCAGCACTTAAGGCAGCGCTGCTGTCACGGGCACCTTCAGCTTTCACATGCTCCAAGTGCCGTCGCGAGCTCTTTGACGTTCCTTCTTGGGGCTCTCGTCGGGCAAACCGTGCAACCTCGACCTGCAAATCGTGCTGGAACTTCGACAAACAGCTCAGACGTACAATGTCACGGTATCTGCTTGGAGTCTTCCTGCCCGGGCTGCCTCGGATCTTTATTTGACCATCGCAAACTATCGTGATGAGATTAGGTGCTTCTCGTCTCAAGGACAGGATCTTGTCCGCGATGGCTGTCACTCAGGAGAAACGGTACAGTGAGAGATAGGCTTGCAAAAAGGCCGCACCATGAAATATTGGATCAGCAAGGCCTTTGGTAAGGTAAGGATCAAGACTTGGCCCCGTAGGATAGACTTGAAGCTCAACTGGCTTATTTGTCGAACTGCTCCTGAGCAAGTTGCAGCCAGTCTGAGACCACCAATAAGATCCAGGCCCTCGTAAAGAAATTGGGCGGTTTCGATCTAAATGTAGCCAAAGATAGGGCAGCACTTCCAGAGCGGCGGACGGACATACGGGACTCTGCCAGGATCTTCGAATACCCGGATATAAGGAATCTTAGAGGTTCTGAGGATGTTGGAGTCTTTGGAGACCAGTTTGAAGCCCCAGTTGGATGCAGCATTCGACTTACATGTGTGGTATGTTTCTTCGTAAGCATTCCACCCTCCCGGGCGTTCGTAAGTCCATATGACCGAGGGGTTATGGTCTGATAATTCTCGTGCCTTCGATGCATGTTTCAGTCTTCTCCTGGTGCACATGCTATTTCATCGTTTGTTGTCATAGTGGTTGTTATCGGGTTTGTTTTTATGTTGGTGAAAAGATATCAAGCACCCTAAACCTTAAACCCTAAACCCTAAACCCTAAACCTAAACCCTAAACCAACCCTGAACCCTAAACCCGAACGCAGATTCTGTAGCAGGTCTTTCAGTCCCTGGCAGCCATGGAATCCAGGCTCTCTGGTGTGGGTGGGAACAGGGTCAAGGGATTTAGGACCTAGGACACGGGTGTTTGCAGCTTAAGTGGGGGTTTAGGGTTTAGGGTTTAGGGTTTAGGGTTTAGGTTCAGTAGTGGGGTTTAGGGTTTAGGGTTTAGGTTCAGTAGTCGGGTTTGGGGTTTAGGGTTTAGGTTCAGTGTGCACGAGCATAAGCATGTGAGGCTTTCGCAGGTGCTTGGGCTTCTACAGGATGGTATCTTGCACAGCATTAGGACATGGCGACTAGAGGCTTTTGAGACGCTTAGTGATGGCTCCTCCTCTGAATTCCCCCCGGGCCCGCAAACCCCACTCACCCCCAGCTCGCTATACCCTAAACCTGAACTAACCCCGAAAAGGCCCGATAGCTCCCATCTCGACAAAGGCACCCACAAGCCCACCAAAAAGGTTTCCACAAACCCGGGTTTAGGGCTTGACGGTTTAGGGTTTAGGGTCTTCAGGAATTTCTGGCGAACGGTTCTGTCCTGAACGGACGACAACGTGTGGCTTAGACACTAGAAGGAGCTAGTGTGGACGGTGTGGACGGTTTCCATTTCTCAGCGTCACAGCGGGCAGGTAAATAGAAGCGCCAGCCACACCGACTTCTGTGACAATGCACTAGCCGTCACTTGACGTAAAATGCGCCGCCGCCCGCAGTCCCTGGTCTGAGGCCGTGGCGATATCCAGCCACTGCGCTGCAAGACGAACTAAACCCCGAAGCCGGCACCCCAAACTGAGGTCAAGCAGCCAGGATTCGTACTGCCAGCCTTGTCTGACTATAAGCCACAAAAGAGGTTGGCTTAGACCTGGCCATGCCGAGGAAGGCCACTGCACTTGTAAAAGCTTAAACCCTATCCCTAAATCCTAAAGCCTACACCCCCGAACCGAAACTGTGGCCCAGAACGCGAAAGCCTCCAGTCACCATTGTTGCTGTTTGGGGACATGAGGGTTCTTTGGCTTCATGGGGCTTAAAACCCTAAACCGTAAACGGGTCCTTTGGGTGTAAGGAAATCATTAGAAGGAACCTTGGAAGGGTGGGTTAGTTTGGGTTTTAGGGTTTAAGGTCCCTAAACCCTAAACGTCCTAAACCCTAAAAGGGAACGGCTCTGAGGGTTTAGGGCTCTTAAAGATTAGGGTTCTAAACCCTAAACCCGAAAAGGCTTAAGGTGTTTAGGGTTTAGGGTTCACCGGCTGTGAGGTCAATGTAGAAGCCTAAATAACTGCCAATATTATTCCTTAGGGTTACTTATTAATTGTGATGATACTGATTGTGATGATACTACAGAGGAGCACAAAACCCGATTTGAAAAAAATAAGGCCTCTACATGGGTAGTTCTCCAAATGTGGGTCCCTTTTCAGCTCCCAGCAAAAG